AAAGAGAATCGCAGGCAGGGTGGATCAACAGGTAGGGTCCACTGAGAGGCTTCTTTATAGGAAATATAACTAGCCTGAGGAAGGTTATATGGACCAAAATCAAATATGAGAAAATGGAACTCAATGTGATAGGGAACCAGATAGTAATAGAGGTAACTGGACCAGTATTTATGGATAGGTTGACTGACAGGCTTTAATAAATGAAGAAATATAACTAGAAATCCAGCCCAGGAGTGAGAAAATTCAGAAACAGGTAAATAACAGGTTGCCCCCCCCAATATAAAACCGTGAGTGTTCGGGAGACCCAACAATACACAGTTCATTCTGGGAGAGTAAAAGGGAGGAATAGTCTTAAAAAAAAAAAAAAACAGCAGAAGATATAGCTAATAGTGTATCAGGAATTAAAACCCTTATTACTCACACCATTCTGCTTGGTTGGGAATTGTCCCGTCCCAGTTTGTATACAAACACTGGATCTGAGGGCACAGACAGCTGTCCCGAAGATATCAGGACATAGCACAGTGGTCATCTTTAATTTCCTATTAACTCAATCAGGATCCCTGTATGACTTATACTGTTGTATCATGACTGATCTTAGTTCAATCTGACTTGTCTGATTGCTGCTTATTATTGACAGATTTTATTCAAAACTGTTAGGTTCCTGGTATCAAGTTGAGGAGTATAGTCAACTGTACTGAAAATGACAATGATTCACTACAATACCCATTCTGATTTGATTACTACCTATTTTTGTAGCTCTACACTATCTACAAAGTTGTAATTCTGTTAATTCTGTTATGTACTGATATGTTCAATTATAGTTTATCTGACGATATAGCCAATTCTGTTGATGATAACAAACAGCACAGTGACCATGGTAGAACTCTTTATACAGCATTTTATATGTCTTTTTAGTTTTATGTGTCTATAGGAATATGTTTAGTTCTGTCCTGCTTTGTTCTGATTCTCCCTCTAATATAGAAAGGATAGAAATACATGTTAAGACTCATGCTTGCGTAAAACCTATAAACAGTTTATGAGAACTGATCTTATGACACATGATGAAATAAACAAATACTTTGAAGGAAAAAAAGGGGCACTGCAGTATCAAGTACTGATTCTGGAGTGTTATGATGTGAAATCCAGCAATATTATTAATCTTAGTTCAGAAGGATTTTAATCTAATAAGTTTTGTTAGGTCTCAGCATAAATGTAGATATGGATAAATGCGTACATGTCTAAGTATATAGGATTGATAGCCATATTACTTAGTTTTTGTTGGATAGTTGAACAGAACTGTTTGCAGTCTCCCTGATTGAATTCCCATTTATATGTTCCACTTTTGTGTCTTGAACAACTATTTGTGGGAGGACAATATGTATACATCAACTAGTGATTTATTACTGTTTATTTCTTTTCTTTGAAAGTATGTACTATTTCTGCCCGTTTTCTATTTTGTCTTGTCTTTCTTTAAATAGTAATAATAATAAAAAAAAAGAAATAGGTATTGATGATCTTCTGCAGTTCCATAAGGTCTGTAGTGATTTTACCCTTTTCATTCCTTATTGTATTGTTTTTTTTCTTTCCTTTTTTAAATAAGGTTGGCTACAAGCTTATCAATTTTATTTATTCTTTCAAAGAAACAACTCTAGGGGCTGGGGATTTAGCTCAGCGGCATAAGCACCTGCCTTGCAAGCAGACGGTCGTGAGTTCGGTCCCCGGTACCGATAAAAACGAAAAAGACAAAAAAAAAAAAAAAGAAAAGAAACAACTCTGATTCATTGATTCTTTGGACTGTTTTCTTATTCTCTATTACATTGATTTTTACTCTTGACTTTTATAATTTCCTCCATTCTTTTGGCTTTGGGCTTAACTTGCTCTTCTTTTTCTAGATGTCTGAGGTGTAGCATCACGTTGTTTATTTGTGTTTGTTCTGTTTTCCTGATGTGAGAATTCACCACAATACATTTTCCTCTAAGGACTGCTTTCATTGCATCCCACAGATTCTGCTAAGTTGTATTCATATTTTCATTTGCTTGTGGATATTGCTTAATTTCTTCTTCAATTTCCTCTGTGACCCATGGTTGCTTGGGAATTTATAATTCAATTTCCATGTGTTTGTGGGGTTTTTGCAGTTTCTTTTATCATTAATTTGCAGTTTCATGGTGCTATGATCCAATAACATGCATGGGATTATTTCAATTCTTTTGCATTTACTTAAGCATATTCTGTGGACTAGTATATGACCTATTTTACAGAACATTACACGTGCTGCTGAGAAGAATGTATATTCTGATGTTGTTGGGTAGAACACTATACGTCCACCAAGTCCATTTGTTCACAAGTGTGATTCAGTTCTGTTATTTCTTTGCTGATTTTCTCTCTAGTTGATCTGTCTCTTTATGTCAATGGCGTGTTAAGGTCTCCTGTTATAATTATGTTATTGCTTATTTGATTTTTCATTTCTGTATTTGGTTTTTTTTTTTTTTATCAGTCCCAGGGATCGAACTCATGACTGCCTGCTTGCAAGGCAGGTGCTTATGTTACAGAGCTAAATCCCCAGCCCTAATATTTGTTTTGTATAGCTGGGTGCTCTTGAATTTGGTGCATATATATTTAAGATTGTTATCTCTTCCTTTTGAAGTTTTCCCCTAACTAGTATCTAGTGACCTTCGTGATCTCTTTGGATCATTCTTGGTTTGAAGTTCACATTGTCTGCAAATAGAATAGCTACCCCTGCTTTTTTGGGGATCCTGTTGCATGAAATATTGTTTTCCATCCGTTGACATTCAGTCTATGAGTTTCCTTTTGGGTTAGATGAGCTTCTTATATACAATATATGGTTGGATGCTATTCCATGATCCATTCTGCCAGTCTGTTTCTTTTCATTGGTGAATTGAGGTCATTTACATTCATGGTTATAACTGATATTTATTGGTTTATTTTTGACATGTTAATCTTTCTGCTGTTGATTCTTTACCTTTCCACTCTGTTTAATTGTTTGCCTTGTTTAGTGGTTTTTTTCCTATGTCTGTCTAGAATGTCTTTCAGTATTCTTTGAGGCTTGGTTTGGTGGTCATGAAGTTCTTCAGCTGTTCTTTGTCGTGGAAGTAACTTATTTCTCCATCCATTTTGAAGGACAGTTTTGCAGGGTACATCACACTGGGTTGGAATTCATTTTCCTTTAGGACCTGAAATACTTCACTTCATGCTCTTCTTGACTTCATTGTTTGTGTTGAGAAGTCTGTTGTGATCTGATAAGCTCTGCTTTATAGATGATCTGTCTCTTCTCTCTAGCAGCTTTTAATATTCTGTTCTTATGTTGGATTTCTGGGATATTGATTACTGTATGTCTGGGTTTCGTTTCATTTTGATTATGGTTATTTGGAGTTCTATATGCTTCACTGATCTGTATGTCCGTTTCCATTCTCATGTTTGGGAAATTTTTAGCTATGATTTCTGCAAATAGCCTCTTGATATCATTAGCATTGTCACCTTCTTTTTCATTTATACCTGTCAATCTAATGTTGTTTTTCTTTGCATCATCCCGTAGCTGTTGAATTGTTATTTCCCGATTCCTTGTTGTTTTTAAAAGATGTTTCCTTTCTTGTTCACTAGCTGCAATCTTGTCTTCAAGGTCTGAAATTCTATCTTTACATTCATTGAGGCAGTTTTGTCAACTTTCAATGTAATTTTTGATTTCCTGTATATCCCTCTGAATCTGCTGCATGCACTGTTTGTTTCTTATATTGTTCATTCAAGGTTTCCATCTTTTTGCATTGTTTCTCTAATTTTGTAACTATGTCTTCTTTAGAGGTATTCAGCATTTCTTTCATTACATTTATCATTTCCTCTTCTGTTTAGGTGATTATTTCTGATCTGAGTTCTTTTATAGCTTCCCAGAGTTGTTTCGTTACTTCAGTTGTTATCGTTTCAGGAATTTCAAGTGTATGGCTTTATTTTCTTCTGTGTCCACATCTAGGCTTGCTTGGGTTGGGCTGGAAGTTTGAGATTGCATTTTGCTCTTTTATTTTGTCATTTTCCTATATTTCCAGGTTTCAAGTGATGTTTCAAAGCTTCCCCCATGTGCTGGGAATCACCTGGCCCACTTTTGGTTCCCAGGGCAGGCTGCAGGCAACTGCTCGCTGCTTGGAGGTTGCTGAGCATGGCCCAGTTAGGCCCACAGGGACCTCCCATGCATTCTCTGGTTATTTCGGACACTGGGCATGATCTTTTCAACTAGGAACGATGTTTCAAAGCTTCCACCATGGGCTGAGATTCAACTCACGCATGTTTGGCTCTGGGACTTTAAGTTCTTATAACAATCCTACAAGATAAACACTACTGCTTTCCTATTTTACATATGAAGAAACTAAGGCACACTAAAACTTACTTGTTTTGCCAAAGGAATAAAGCTAGCTGAAAATCCAGCCAATCTAAATCAAGGTTGCAATATTAATCACTATGGAACTATAAATCCTTATTATAGTTTGATCTATTCTCTATCCAAGCTGATCACTTCTAGCAAGGACTGTCATAATTCTGATGTGCAATGTTTGTTCCCAAGGGAGTCAATGAAAGCTCCCTTTACACAAAATATATATGTACTTTATATAAAGGTACTTTAAGCTGGTTAATTTCTTTTGTTTTTTTCTTTTTGTGGGTACCAGGAATTGGATTCAGTAGTTAATTTCTATTAAAAAAAGACAGAAAAACTGGGAGTGACAGATGCATTCAGTATCCAAAACAAATAATGAACAAATGGTCTCATGGTTTTATATACATCTGTGAAATTTTCCAGTGATATATACCAAATATGTACAGTTTATTTTACATCAATTATGCTTCAATACACTACACACACAATAATGATGCATATAATATACTATATTTTTATATATGACAACCATTGAGAACATTTGGTAACGAATATTTCTATCTATATTGCTTCCATTTCAGTAATATGTAAGTTTTGGATGAATACAATATTGAAAACTAACCTGTTTTGCATTCTGGACTTGATAACTGTGCTACCTTTTGGATTTTTCGTACTGGCTTTACCACTTTTTTCTCTTTAGTTTTTTCAGCAGGTTTCTCTTTTACAGAGGTATCATCTGAAAAACAACAACATTTACAGCAATTGTTATGATTCTTACTCACCTATTCATCCTATCCCAGTGAAAAATCAGTATACTAATTTCCCCTTCTGTAGTTTCTATGGTTTCAGTTTCTGAAGGTCAACTGCAATCTGATAACATTAAATGAAAAATTTCAATAATAAACAATTCAGAAGTTTAAGTTGTCCACCATTCTGAACATGATGAATCTTCCAACATCAAGTTCCATCCAGTCCATTATAGGTCAGCCCTTTGTCCAGCACATCCCCACTGCATATGCTACCCACTCATCATTAGTTGCCCATTAGTCATTCAGTAGCTGTCTAGGTTATGAGCCCAATTGTGACTGTCGTATCATATAGCTTCTTTTCAAGTAAACCTTATTTTACTTAGTAATAGCCCCAGGGCTCAAAAAAATGATGATGCTACAATTTGGATATGCCAAAGAAAAGCTATAATATGCTTTCAACTAAGTGAAAAGGTGAAAGCTGTTGACTTAATAAGGAAAAAAAAAAACTGTATGCTGTATTACTCTCATTCATCTTACTGTGTCTAAATGTATAAATTCAATTTTATCATAAGTATATATAGGAAAAATCAAAGTATAAATATTATTCCATTGTATTTGCAGATTCAGACATCTTCTGGAGGTCTTGGAATGCATCACCAATGGATAAGGAGGAGAATAGTATATAAAGATCATGTAGGGCAAAAGAAATTTTCACGGAGACTATTTCTATGATCCACAAACTCCCAATGTCAACTCCTCTCATGGAAAGATCTTAAAGAGTATCATTACTCCACTGCTAAATTCTAATTCTTTTCTTCAGAAAATCCTGAAGAAATTTATCTTGTTTTCACAAATAGAAAAAAAATTACAATAGTAATGATTTCAAAACTAAGATCACTATATATACTACATTTCAGAAGCAAGCACTTTTACAGATTCATTTAAAAGGTTCAACATAAAAAACTTTATACTGTTGTATACCTATATATATAGTTTTTTTGTTTTGTTTTGTTTTGGTAGTAATAGGGGTAGAAGCCAGACCTCCAAAATGAGCTACATTCCCAAGCCCTATTTATTTTATATATTTTGAGAGAAAGTTTCAGTACAATTGCTAAATTGGCCAGCCTGGGCTTGAACTTGTGTTTCTCCTGCCTCAGCTTCCCAGAGTGAGGGAATTACAGGTCACAAAATGTCACTCTAAAGCTTGAGGTCTACACACTTGGTCAGATACATGTAGCTTTGAATATTGGCTTCAGTTCTTTACTCTGTGCAACCCTGGGAAAATCACTCTTTTGAGAGTTCATTTCCTCAACTGCAAAATTTACAAAATTAAGTACACAATATCTTGCCTGACATCATACTCCTATTTCTAATTCTATAACTTTATTCCCTCTATATAATGCTTGCTTTTCTTTCTGTGTCTGGTAATTGGCAAATTATCATTTCAAAGACTTGAAAGGTGTATCAGAAATAATGTTCAGCCAGACTCTGTTTCCTTTAACTCAGGTAGTTCTGACTCCAAAAGTCACTTAGTTTAAAAATAGCAGTCTCAAAAAAAAAAAAAAAAAAAAACCAGTCTCATTGGCCATGTAGGCTAATTTTAACCCTGGGGCAGAGCCCAGAGGCTAAAAACCTTAGAACTGAAACCACTAGTATTTCAGGATAGAAAGGGAAAATTTTTACCTTGAAGACAATTTTATATTTAAATATTAATTTATATTATTAATTAGATGGCATGCATAATAAGATACTCAAAAAATATTCTACTCTTACCTGCAAAATGAAGTGCCAAGTCTTGGTACAATTCTCTACTCATAGTTTGAAATTCAGCCTCTTGCCACACTTTCCCATCAGGTGTTCTAATCTTGGTCTCTGAAGGGTTGAAACCTAGTATATACCATCAACATAGAATATTCATATTAAAATTGCTTTATATGATTTTTCATTTTTTTTCCCTCTTTGGTACCAGGGATCGAACTCACAACCTTGTGTTTGCCACACAGGTGCTTGCACCACCCAGCTAAATCCCAAACCTATGTTTTCCATATTGTACCTTTCGTCTTCCTCGTTTTTGTAGTACATGGGGATTGAACCCAAGGCCTTTGTATTAAACTATATCCCCAGCTGTATTTTGTTTGTTTGTTTAATTTTGAGACAGAGTTTCACTAAATTGTCCAGGCTGGGATTGAATTTGATTGAAGTGCACGTGCCTCTCCCTGACATGTTGGGATTATAGTCCTGTGCCATCATGCCCAGATGTATATATATTTTAAGTGAGATCATTTATATACTTTTAAAAGTATGTAACACACCAGACTTTAGTATATTTACAAAGCTGTACAATTATCAGCATTACCTAACTCTAGAGTATTTCACATCACAATGAAAAGAAATTCTGAATCTATTGTGTCACTCCCCATATGACCTCCTCCATCCCTAACTACTAATCTATCTTTATAAATTTGTCCATTCTGAACATTATATAGAATTGTATATTAGGTGGTCTTTTGTGTCTCGCTTTTTTCATATAGTATGATTTCAAGGTTGAATCATCATCTAACATGTATCATGACTTCATTTCTTTTTAGTGACAAGTGATATTTCACTGTATGGATATATTATTTTGTTTAACCATTCACCCACAGATGGATATCTGGTGTTTTACTTTGGGGTTGTTTTAACAATGCTGCTATGGACATTCTTGCACAAGTTTTTATGTGGACATATTTTCAATTCCCTAAAATATAATATATAGAAATCAAATGCTGTCATTATCATAACTCTTAACTTTTTGAGAAAAATTTTTTAAAGCAATAGCACCATTTTATATTAGCTGCAAAGACAAGGATTCTGATTTCTCCTCAGTACTTAATGTCAATTTTATTATAGCCACACTAACAGACATACAGTAGAATCTCTGTAGTTTCGATTTGTACTTTGGTAATAACTAATGTTGAGCAGCTTTAAGCTTCTAAAAGAATGCATAACTAGCTAACACATAATCTGCTAATAAATACCATTTAGAAAAGGCATCAGTGAAATAAATAATATATACATTTATTCAAAGAGTAAGATTAGAAGAGAAGCACTAATGATAAAACGATGTCAATCATAAATTACAGATTTTAGAAAAACTACTCAAGAATAACAGAACGACACTAGTCATTATTCCTGTCTTTGAAGACAGACATTAGTTGCTACCCATCTGTATAAATTTTATCTTTAGACAGGGTTTGACTAAGTGTCCTTTAAAAAATATTCTATCCGTTTCTACCTATGGCTAAATAAATGGCTAAGTTGCACTTTATATAGGCAAAATTTATCCAATGGGTGAAAAATGGTATTTAAAATACATACATTTGGGGCTAGAGTTGTAGCTCAGTGGTAGAGCACTTGCCTAGCATATATGAGGCCCTGGATTCAATACCCACACCACAAAAACAAAACAAAAATGTTCAATTTTTCAACAAACATTACATTTGTGATACTTTCAAGGAATTACTATTCTGATTTTTCACTTCAAATTTATCACTACCACTTAAGAAATACAATGACTTTGGGGCTGGGGATTTAGCTCAGCGGCATAAGCGCCTCCCTTGCAAGTGCATGGTCATGAGTTCAATCTCTGGTACTGGTAAAAAAAGAAAAAAAAATAGAAATACAATGAATTTCAGCCGGGCGTGGTGGTGCACCCCTGTAATCCCAGCACTCAGGAGGCTAAAGTAGGTGGAATATTTTCAAGTTCAAGACCAGCCTGGGCTTATAAAGTGAGCCCAAGGCCAGCCTGAACTGCATAGCATGACCCAGTCTCAAAAAGACAAAAAAAAAGGGATGGGGGGCACCTAGGATTTAGCTCAGCGGGGTAAGCACCTGTCGGGCAAGCTCTAGGTGGTAAGTTCAATCCTCAGCACCAAAAAAAAAGAAATATAATGAATTTTAAGTGATATGTACAAACTAATAATTAAATATAGACGATAACCAAAGTAGTGTAAGTATTTATATTTTAGGATGGGTTTAGTTTATCAAGAAATGGATAACCAATATTTGTAGAATAAATCAATATAAAAAATAGGCTGGAATCCAAAATTGGTAAAAGTCCTTTACAGGTATTAGATAAAATGGACTAGAGGTTTAGTATGCCTTACCCAAAAGTGTTTTAGATTTTATACTTTGCATTTTGAAATATTTATTCATACATAATAAGATATTTTGGGAATGGAACTCATATCTAAATATGAAATTCATTTGTTTTATATGCTCTATATACAATGCATATATATACAGTCTGAAGTTATTTTTACATTCTTAATAATTTTATACACAAAAAAGTTTGCATATATTGAACCATCAGAAAGCAAAGACGTCAGAATTTCATGAAAAGGTGATGTTAACCTTGCAGCTACTGAAAAAATGCCTACACATGACTTGGTGAACATGTGATGGGCCTATTGAAAGATTTTAAATGTATAACTATCACTATCAGCTTGATTCAATTCATTTCAGCTGTTTCATCCTTGGTTATTACTGATATAAAAATGTTTCCAGCCAGGTGTAGTGGTACACACCTATATTCTCAGCACTCAGGAGATGGAGGCCAGAGGATCACTGAGAATTTGCAAGTTTCAGGCCAGCCTGAGCTACACAGTAACATTCTGGCATTCTGAAGAACTTCTTCAATATCCACATTTTCCAGGTTACTGACAGACTTTGAAGGTACTTTTTTTACTTATATAAGGATGTCACACATCTTTTTTTTTTCTCTTGACATACAGAATCCTTCAAATTCCTCACCTTGTTCATTACAATTCCCGATCACTGCACAGGCCAGTAGTATGCTTAAGTCACTGAATTCCAACTAGTAACAACAGCATACATGGCATCCTTCTTGTTAAATTCCTTTTGAAAACTATCTATACCCACACTTCTGTTAGCATGCTGCTCAATAAATTGTTTTGTTTTTTTTTTTTAAATCAGTACCAGGGATTGAACTCACAACTGCAGGCTTGCAAGGCAGGCGCTTATACGGCTGAGCTAAATCCCCAGCTCCCCCCAATTTTTTTTTTTAATTTACTTTCTAGTGCTTTATGGACACTCTAATCACATGGCTGAATTAATGAAGTCACATTTGGGAGGGAAAAGTACATAGCACAAACATTGTTTTTGGCAGCTGTTACTGATCAATTACTTGGGGATTGAATCCAGGGCTTCATGCATGCTAGGCCAGTGCTCTACCATTCTGCTAACTCCCAGCCCATAAATATTATTTTTGATGGAATTTCTGATTGAAGGGGATGAGCAGAACAGTTGTCAAGAGATAAAAACACTTTGCAGTTATCACTGAATTCTGTTACCAGCAGTGAGTACAAACTGCTGGTACAAATGTTTATGAAACTAATCAGAAAAGATGTCCCTGATAACCCACACCTTTTAAATAGCACAATTATACATTAGTAAGAAATTCACTCTTTAGGGCTGGGGATTTAGCTCAGCGGCATAAGTGCCTGCCTTGCCAGCAGGCAGTTGTGAGTTCGATCGCTGTTACCGATAAAAACGAAAAAGACAAAAAAAAAGAAATTCACTCTTTAAATATAAAGGGTCAGCCTGCCCCCAGACTCGTGGGTTCCAGTCATCAAAATACAGCAAGGATACATGCTTTTGCCTATCACAGCAATTTTACACTTATTACATGCCTGCTGTACTGTATTTGTATATCCCAGCACTGTTTTTCTGTCCTTGACATCCTGTGGCAGTTGTCTCATCAGCTGCAATCAGTGTATTTCTGGTGAAGGTACACCAAAATAATATTTGATGAATACTAGACTTACACTGGCACCAGATTTTCATCAGCAATGAACTTGTATTTCTCCCCTGCCCTATGACTGCCAGATGTTTGCTACAAATCTTTAAAATCTAATGCTGCATCTTTTCTTAAATTTGTGCAACCAGTCTCTTGAATATTCAGTGTCCTTCAATTTCATTTCATTGTGACAGATATTTTGGTCATTTGACTCCATATATCATTAGGTAGTATATTTTCAATACAATGCTAACAGGATTAACTCTAAAATACAATCAAGATCTTTAAGTAATATTTTTCTATTTTTTCATTTACTTCTGCTCATTCTTTTCAGCACAGAACTTCAACAGTTTATCATTCTTCTTTTTCAGGTCATATATGGTGGTCATTCCAGCTCTATATTCTTCCACAAGACATTTCACACACTAGCTTGACTTTCCAGGATACTGACAAACATACACGATTCTTTCTTTTCTTACAACTTTTACCCACAAAAGTATTTGCAGGCCTTTTTTACCATTCACCAATATTTCTGCAACACAGAGCAGAAAATAAGCAAAAACTAAATAATACATATAGGTCTCAGCCCTATACAGGACACTGTAGGAAAACTACCATGAGAGACAGGGAGTCAGGCCTCTAATAATGGCATTTATTATCCTTTGTAGGGAAAGTTAAGTGGGAAAATCTGGGCAGGTATGGGTAAGATATATTACAGCTGGGTAAGATACATTACAACTGAAGGGAGCTGAGACCTTTTCTCGTTCGTGGATTCTGAATAAACTGTTATGCACCTTCACTCTGATTGTAATCTGTCACATGAGATAAGATGTGGAATTCTCTGATGTCATCATTAGCACTTACAGAGTTTCAGATTTTGGGTTTATGTTTTCCTCCCTTCATTAAGAAACATTTATTGCTATGAAAGCCTTTCTTTGTATTCACACTTTCACCTACATGTAACTTTAAAAAGAGTATAATACATACATGTTTCTTTTTATTCCCAAGTCTTTATTTCCACTTCTCTGTCCAATTTTTTTTAATTGAATATGTAGGAAAAAACTCTTTATTTATGTCCATGACACTGTTC